ATCGTTGCAATAAAAATGAAAATTTATAATTAAGATAGATTTCTTCCGGTGCCTGTTTTTTTATGCAATTAGCACTTATTAGTGAATGAATGATTTGCGATGTGGTTCTTTAATCTTGACTTCTGCAGTTGGCGCAATCCCGGCCATCAATTCTACGCCGCACAAGAGCAGTTTGTGGAGGAACAAACGCAATACTCAGTCCAGTATGCCTTTAATTATCCTTCAATAATATATGATTTTTCTTGATACGGAAATTTGGTGAATGAGAAATCTAGAACTTTATTTTGGAAGAAATTATCTCCAAAGTCATATGGCAACACTGAACACTGTATTTTTACATTTCGTATTTTTAATAGCCGCAGTTTACGATTACCCTATGTTCCGTATCCAACAAGCGGAAGAGTCAGAAGTAACCTGGAGTCCCGGACATTTCTTACATTTTATTATTGTTAGTTTGACTTGTGTAGTTGATATAAACTTTGATTACCAACGAAAAATAACTTTTTAATAGGGAAACTTCATGTTTATTATACAACAAGTAATGATCTTTATTTAATTATAGCCATGTTGAAATGTTTTTTTTTTTGTGAAGCCCACTCCTAGATCATTAATGTCTTTATATACATCCTCATATTGTTAGGGATGCTCGCCGCTTCCATCAGATCTTAAAATGTAAAAGTTTAATAGATACAGATTTGTATGAATAATGCCATTCAATATTGTTAGCTACATTAAATTGAGGGTGGAACATGGGAATGGCAATGATTAATTTAGCTGAAGCAACCTTTACAAAATTAGTGTCAAACAAGCAAACGGATGTCATGTCAACCGGAACTCGAACACCACAGCAAAGAGTATTTTATGCAGCTAATGGATTTTGCAAACTTTGCTGGAAGAGAGATTATTGAATTTTAGAAAAAAGGCGGGATAATTCAATGAAGGGTGGTGGCAGAACTGCAATCTTGATACTCTATTGCGATTCATGCTATGATAACCTACGTCACAATTTTCATATGGTAGTTATAATTTTTGCACATTCAAAGTACGCATGACATAACATAATGCACCCAGATTTGGAAACCATAATTGCTCAAACGAAGCAAAAATAAACGACAGACCATTGACTTATCTTGCAAATATATATATATTCATATTTTGTATCAAATAGCATAATTACGCTCTGTAATTATGCCATATTGACCTAATTTGTATAGTCCATTTACGTGCATTGTTATTAGGTATTGATCGTGTCGATTTTGCCGGCCGGGAGGATGTTGGTAATGTAGTCCCAACATTGGCATGCAGGATCGTACTGTTGACGTACAGGTTCATACCCTACTTGCCACAACCAGTCCAGTCATTCATTAGAAGGCACCGATTGCACCTCTAAAGCCATGTTGCCTTCTTTAGTTCTGTAATTCATGTCCGATTGAATTGTGATCTATGAATGATCTGACTCTTAGAACCTGAGTCCTGAGTTGACGCGTTAGCAATCTAGGCAACTCATATCCAACCACAACACAATGCGGATACATGTTTGTATGTACGGTCAGTGTGATTACGTAATTTGCGTTGCCGCACGTCCATATTTAAATTATTTTAGCTTTCTAAAAGTACGGAGCACAGCACATTTTTTTACAGGGATAGTACGGCGCACCGCGCAGGTCGTTAAAATAACGATATAAATTCCCACGCACCTGGCACATCTTCCTGACCATGGATTCAATGGAGGCGCCGCCGATATTGTATCAGATTTTGAACCACGCAAGATATTGGAACCTTTTGGGAGCGTGGCAGTTTCCAATGAGCTCAGTGTATCAATGGTCACTGCGGTGAAAGGTGTTATGTGGTAGGTTTTTAGATCCATTTTATGTTAACATGAGAATATATTAGTGATAATATTACCTATACAGAATTCCACACTGCGTATCAAGAGATTTTTACTGACATTTTTGTGAATTCCCTTCATCCCCTATGGTTCTAAAATATGTCATCATGCTCATGGCAAGGCTATTGGCCATGATGCTAAATCATTTGCAATAAAAGTTGGTGATAGGACCATTAGCCTGACGTTCATCTGGACTTCTGGAGGCTAGGGTAAACGCGGTATATTCCGACACATTAAGGACGCATCGAGAAATGAAAAACTATAAAAAAAATGTATGCGTTACGTAAGTTCTGTTGGCTTCACGTGACTCTCAAAACACTGCACTACACGTCAGCAACGATGAAAAGTCACAAAATTTTGCCATATTTATTAAAAAGCCTTTAGAATGGAAACCTACCAAATTCCTATATTCCGTCACTGTGTGTGGCAATATTTGACACGTGGTGAGTCGTATTGCGTCAGCACTTCAAATTTAACTGATATGTAATGCCGACATCCACGTGTTCGAATTCCGTTCGCTGTGTGAGCTGTATTGGGATACAACACGGCTTTGAATTAGAACACTAACGAATATTGAACACTACTTAATTACGTTTTAATTAACAGCTATTAGGCTTTTAATTAAGCAAATTTTAATTTTTGTACAAAGCTTGGAACGATCTGTGTGTGTCCAATTCAAGATTTTCAAGTTGTATCAGAATTACTTTTCATGTGTCTAAATCCATTTCTCAACTTAATCATCCATTAATTTATTTACGACTTGAAATCAGCAAATACAAGTATACTTAAAGGATTCCTAATATATTCATAGACGCATTTAAAAGTCTCAAACCATAATATTCTTCCTATAAAAACAGTTATTCACTATTTGGTAGAGCAAGGTCAACTGTCAAATTTGACACATTTTTCGATGATCTCACTGGGTAGCGTGCACCGTGCATTGTCTCTCTTTGGATCTCAATATTTTCTCGCTAGATGGCCAAGACCTAGTGTTTTGGCATTAGTTCGACGCACAAATGTATGACGTCACCATTTCAACCATCAACGAATGCATGGAACTAGAGAGGTGACGGAATTACCTACGATGTCGGAATATACCGCGTTTACCCTACCACTCCACTTCCTGGAGTGTCGTTCTCCATTGATGTATCCAACAAAGTTGGACAATGTAATAAGGCCAAAAGAAACAAATTAATAATCCTACAAATTATCAAAGGAAGAAAGAAACAAAAAAAAATAAAAATAAGATATCCTTCCCTCTTTCTATTATTCCTTTCCTACTTAGGTATCAACGCTACGCAAGAATCAATTCTTTAAATTTTCAACAGCCTATTGGCTACTTTCTTCAGACAAGTTACTCACCGATTTTAAAAAAGACGCAGCTCCTCTTACCAACGTTCATCGTCGACCGCACCGCAGCTCGAACCGGTATGCAACTACGGCTTTATGTAAACAGCAAATTCGTGCGGCCGCGGTCCGCAAGTACGTAAATTTCACGTTGATTGGATATATTTTTTTTGAGGGGGGAACAAACTATTTTAAATTATATTTTAGATAATCATATATGCATTTTTTGATAAATTATCATATATCAATTGTTAATCAGTTTTTGCTCCACATTCCATGACAAAGCTGAGAGTCATTCGGAGTGAGTTTATGTCTGCGAATACGAGACGTGTCCGTAAAATAAATTCCTGGGGAAGAGACTGGCGCTAGAGGGCAGGCCAGGCCACAGAGGCAGGTTGCTTGAATCCCCAACTCAAATCCCTTACCAAGCCAGCATCCCTAGGGCCGCTAGGAATAAATCGGAGAAAGAAACTCACGAAGACATATGTCATGTGTATGAGCTCCGGAATGATGCGTAGATGGTTCAGGGACCTTAAAATTGGCTGAACTGACGTCTTCGACGGCACCGGTGCAAGGCGGCCATCGGTTTCTGACGAAACAGTTGCCAAGTCGAAGCTGTAATGCTTGAAGATCGACGAATTACAGTTCGAGAGCTGTATGAAAAAAATTCATCAGTAAAACCATAATTCACAATATTTTGACTGAACATTTAGAGTTTAGACTATTCAAAGGTCCGCGAAAGATAGGTACCAAAAAATGCTCACAGCAAAACCCCAGCGGAAGCGGGTTGAAGCGGTCCAAATATTTCTCGCTGGCCCGATGGCCGCCCTGCACAGACGTCGTCGTGGACGTCCATTAGGCAATTTTTAAAGTATTTTAAAGTATTTTAATTTAAAGTATTTTGCGAATTTCCTTTGTCGAGTTCTTCTTTGCGGCCAGGAAACGGGTAACAGACCGCAACTCGCAGCTGGCAGGAGACGCAAGAAGAAACTCCATCGCTGACGCTTGCTGAGGCACGAATAAACGTCACAGGGACGCTGGCCTGGTAAGGGATTGGAGTTGAGGAATCAAACAACCTGCATCTGTGGCATAGCCACGCATAGAAACGATCCTAGCGCCAGCAGTAGCCAGTGGAACTTATTTTACGGACACGCCACGTAAAATATGTACAAATTTATAAGTTCATCAATGATGCTAGCTGTCAATTGATGATTTTTTTCCGGGTTTAACTCCTAAAACCGAATTAACTCATACCAAGTTTAGCCATTTCTCACTGTCGAAACCACACAGCACTCAGAACCTCTAACTTAATCGGAACGGCTTTCCCTTCAGATTTGTCAGTATTAATGATTATACTCTTGCTGTTAATCATGTCATATTTATCATGAGGAGAGTCTTCCGATATTTTGAAACGGCCGCATGACCAGGCTTGTTGCTGCATGACCAGGCTGTTGACACTTATAGCATCTTAACCGAGAAAAGACAAAAGGTCTCACTATATAAAGTCTATATAAACTGCTTCTGGAAGCTTCGGGCTTTCAAAAACCACTTTCACAGCTGCAGACTCCTCAGGGCTTCCTTGATGCATGCGTGGCAGACGCATCATCTGCAAAATTTTGGTAGACCCTGACTGTGCTGACTCTTGCAGTTCTGTTATGTCTACAGATAAATGAATTGGGCCAATGACTCCAATAACAGATTTGTCAGTTCCAGGCTGTGAGCATGTCACAGTCCAGTTACCAATTCTTGTGACTTGCAGGAGAGCTTACAGGTCAGCAGCAGAGATGTTTGCAAACTCAGTGGTCATCAGATTCCTTCTTGTATTGGTGCGCACTTTCATATTTGGGAATTTGCCATATGCAGACTCTCCAATGCATTTAGCTAATTTGACTGGATTCTTTAAGAAAGATGCAGCATTAGATCTAAATGGTTTGATTAGTATAGTATTACACTTTCCTTGACTGATCAGTGTGGCATTCATAACAGGAAAACACGCTTGCGGCCGCTGGGGCTGACCAGTTCTTGGTTGTTTCCTTCATGAAGTGGAAATTTCATTCTAGGGTCCCACTTTCCTCGAGGAGTCAATGGAGGCATAAGATCACCTTCATAAGCTTCATTATTGATTTCAGATGCAAGCTTCTTCGGTAGGTTGAATTCTTCATAATCTTCATCGCTGCTGACAGAGGCAACACGCTCAAGAGCACGTTTTCTGCCTCCTGACACTTCAGGGAATTTTTAACAGGCTCTGCCTTGAGAGAATCCAAGCCCAGGAATGGAATTTGGAACGGTTTGAAGTCAGCAACTGTAGCACTGTCCTGCTCACATGGAAGAAATGTTACTAAATGATTTTAGTCTGAATGTTGACATACTAAAAAATAAGCATTATATTTGAGAGGACTTGGTTCAGCAACTCAGAGGCTGATCAGATAAATTTACTAAGTTTTACAACTGAAATAATATATTAAGGCCACTTCCATGGCAGTAAATTGGAAATCTATAATTTTTCTACTAATTAATCTATTCTAAAGACCTCGTGTCTATGGAGTTTAATAAACTGAAGCATGTTGGAAGCTAGACCGCGATCTGTGCAAAATTTAAATTGAATCAAGATCGTATTTTAAAACACAATCATACCTAATAACATTTGATAAACCTATATTATGCAAGCAAATGGTTGCAGGAAAATTAAAAATTTATCTGAAGTTGAATAATGATATATGGATACCTACCACCATAAAAATTTATTTTTAGAAATAGAAAATCTGCATGAGTAATATGTCATAAATTCTACACTGGAAATGAAAAAACTATACTCAGCTTTGTAATAAAAGGAAGGCTCTGACATCTTGGATAGAAGAAACTATAATGCATCTTGGATATAATGCTAACAAAGCAAGTGCCCATATCTTCCTTATGAATAACTCAGAATTTTGCTCAACTTTATTAGGCTATTATTGGGCTTGGATTATTAACTAATTTCATAGAATAATAACAATAGAACATTCTTCAAAGGAAAATCACTAACTTCTTCCATGAAGAAAGGTTCCTCTTTCTCCACTTCAAGGAAGCCAGCTGGGAGCCCCGAGTCACAGTTTGATTGCTGCTCATCACGAGGCTCAATCTTCACAGCTTCTGCAAGTGCCACAACTTGAGTACTGATTCAATTATTGAGGAACATACTTCAAAATTGTCATTAGTTACTGACCTTAGCTTATCATATATGGTCAAAATACTCAGCACTGGCTACATGAATATCAACATCAAATTTGAGAACGCCAGACATCAATTCTGAATCTTATGCAATTTACATAAATCTTATCCAAACCATACAACTTAACTTTAAAAAGCCTCATTTTCTGGGATTTGTGCAAAAGTCAAAATAATTATGACAAATCCTTTATTTTCTGTATAGTACTTGATTGTGCCAAAATATGTACTATACAGCAAATAAATTTTCTAACTTAATGTTAAAAGTTAGAGAGCAAACAGTTCTCTACCAGAGACGCTTCTTGTACATATATTCTTGCTTAGAAAACATAAGTGATAAAACCAAACCAGATTTTTGATGAAATTGCAAGTGTATAAACAAATATAAAAATTTATTTTCATCATATGGCAACCAGAGCAAACTTCAATTTTGCTATAACTGCAATGTACATATCAATTATGACAAAAGATTACACAAATCAAAACACTACAATAAGCTAATTACCCATGACACAACTTGGCAAGGAATGCTCCATCTGCCTGCAGTCTTCAGCTGTATGATGACACAGCTCGAGACCTGCACCTAACTTGACTGCATCAGAAGACTCCTGCAATGTGGGTAACTCCTTCATCTCTGCTGGAGTCTTAGAGCTCTAGAATGTTTCTGTAAGGTATAATGCAAGTTTAGTTAGTTCAAGATATGCAGAGTAAACAGAATTGGGCTCACAACTCTCCTTTGAACATTGATTGGAAAAGGCAAACATTTTACCTAAAGTCACATACTAGTTTACTCTAATTTGAAATCTTATTGCTTACACACATGAGGCTTCTGCCCAATTACACTATACAAAGTTTGTGAACTAAGAAATTACTTAAGTAATGCACAAGTATTGAATATTATTTCTGAAGAAAATCTTGAAAACATATAATTTGGTTTTGAATAAATCTTGTCATTCTTGTCTATAAATATGGGGTCATATTTTCAAAACATTGCTAAGTGTTTGTAGCAACTCAAGTACTGCATAAGTCCGCTAAGTACGCATAACTCCAAAACATGGTACCTTTAAAACATTTCCACACTGAGTTACGTCAACAAAGTTATGCATAACTTCACAAATGATAGAAGCACTCATAAGTTGAGTTACGTACAACTTCTGAGGCCATAAAGCAATTGAAAATGAGTTTGAACCCTACAGTGAACCGTGAATATTTTCCCTATATTTCTTAGTTCTTCATAAGTTAACTGTTGTTGCGCTATCAGTGAACAATTTGTTTCATGTTTGTGTCTGGGCTAGTTAATTGTTTTCAATAAGTATAAGTATGAGAAAATGGAAGCAAATGATTGATTTAAAATAAAAAAGTTTCAAGTCATTACTTTATAATTAATTAGTGTATGATCAAATAATGATATTTTCATTTATCAAACCTAATGATAATGATTCCTATCACTAGGGATAGAGAGGGATCAAAGTTACACTTGAAAGAATCAAGAATGAAGGTTGCATCTTGCAATACTTCAAGATTTCAATTGGACTAAATATTAATTCATCAGCAATTTGTCTCTGTCAAACACAACAAATTAGCATTAATGAATTAATAACAAATCACACCACCAATAAAAGTTGAACTCAACATGATGCACCACAAAGCTATTTCGCAAGAGCAAAATCTCATACACGTTCACACAGTGAAAGCTAACCAGCATCTGCATTTGATGGTCGGCAATGCTGCTTCTGGAAGGTTAGCGTTGGCGGTATGAAGCAGCAACAAGCGGTAATATTATGGTTTGCAATGCCACAATGCAACTGTAATATTACTGTATGTAAGTACTGTAGTATTATGGTTATGGTATTTACCATAAGTATTACAGTAGTTTCACAAATGTATTCAGGAACAGATTCTAAAATCAAAGCAACATTTCCATTCCTGTATATAAATTTGATTAATACACCTATCAAATTCATTCAATGTTATTCAATTTGGGGTGTATGAATGACAATTTTACTTTCGTTCCCATGATGCTCATTTCTACTGGTTGCAACTGTAGAATCAAATTAAATTTTAAAACATTAATTACAATTAAATTTTAAAAAATTAATTAAAATTAAATTTTAAAAATTAATTAAAATCAAATTTTAAAAATTAATTAAGATTAAATTTTATTATTAAATTAAATTTAATGTTTTAATACACCATACCTAGGTACATGCTGTAGAATTAAATTCTTTTAAAATATATTAAATTGAAAACTTTAATTAAAATTTTCACATTAAAAATCAATTTTTATTAAATTAAATTGAATTATTTAATACACCTCATGGTACATGCACAATGTTTTATATAATGATATAGTTGCCAGTTCAAAACAACAAACATTTTCTAAAAGTCACAAGAAATTAAAAAACTTGCAATGGGAAACAAAATCATACAGAATTTGAAGATTGAAGTGGAGTTATTAAGAGAATATTGATATAATAGGGCAAGGGCAAAAACATGAAAAAAATCATACCTGAATGTGTATCAATAGATGTTTAAATTTTGAAACAACTTTCCATCATTTAAATCTCAGTGTGGAATGTGGATCAAATCTATTTATTGTGAAATCAAACTAGACATAACCAAAACAAAGTGTGTGACACTGTCTTGTCAAATGTTTACATGGCAGCACAATGTGCCCATATGCTGTGAAAGATTTACAGTTTATCCCATCATTTTGTGTTATTTTCAAAACTTTGTTTTTATTGGTAAAATAGCAAAAATTTTCTGCAAAAGTTGATATAATTTTTTTCGTTTTAGAACATATTCATTGAAAAAAATTGTCAGATATGATAAACAACTTATGAAAGTAATCAAGGGAGGCGTTGCCAACACAATTTTGGATTTTGAACTACGAGTGATTTCAGAAGTGCAGCAGTTTCTGAACTCAAGTGTATCAATTGTCACTGCGGTGGAAGGTGTAACATGGTAGGAGCCTAGGAGGCTAGGAGGTAGGTTTTTCGATCCATTTTCTTATGTTGATGTGAGAATATATTACCTATTTAGAATTCCACAGGCCAACTTCTCCTGCTCTCTGCCAAGTGCCAACCCCTTAATTGTAATTATTGAGAAAGTAGGGTAAACACACCATATTCCTACACCTTAAGGATGTAGCAAGAAATAAATGGCTATAAATAGATAACCATTTGCGCAACTCAAGTTCTGATTTGTTTACAACACTCTCAAAACACCACTCTATGGGCCAGCAATGATGAAACATCACAAACTGTTGCCATATATATTTAAAAGCCTTTAGAATTCAAATCTACAATATCGCTGAATTCCGACACTGTGTGTGACTAAATGCGGCATATTGTGAGACTAATTCCGACAGCGCTTCAAAATCATTATTTGTAATTCCAACACCCGGTGTTAGAATTCCAACACCCTGTGTGAGCTGTATCAGAATATGACACATGACTGTCATGGCAGTGTGTCGTAATTCCAACACTGCGTCAGAATTAGTTTTTATGATTCTACAACCGTCTCTTAAATCAATCATCTATTAATTTATTTACCACTTAAAATCAGCAAATACATGTATACTTGAAGGATTCCTAATATATTCACAGGCTTATTTAGAAGTCTCAAACCATAATATTCTTTCTACATAAACAGTTTATCACTATTTGGTAGAGAAAGGTCAACTATCAACTTTCACATGTGTTTTGATGGTCTCACTAGGTGACGTGGACTTTCGATCTGCGGATCTTAACATTTTCCCACCAGACCTAGTGTTTTGCAGAAATATTGCACGCAATAGTATGACGTCACTATTTCAACCATCTACGCATGCATGAAACTAAAACAAAGCTTAATATAAAGGAAAAAGTTGAGAAGTGTCAGAACTTGGAATTACCCACAGTGTCAGAATATGGTGCATTTACCCTATCAGATCATTCAGATGAACATACTAAAGGATTCCAAAAGGATGGTCATCTGGTACTTTCAGTTTCAGTTTCAGACTCACTGACTGACTTAGTCTCCTAGTGAGTCTAGTCCCAAACTCCCTGTGTTAGACTGTTAGGGAACCAGAATGAGATTAAATTCATTTAAAACCCTTCAAAATTTGCCCAATTGCATCATATTGCATTTTCAGTTTTTCTATGTTAGTTAACTGCTCATTTGCTGAATTACTGTTTTGTTTTGTCAACAGCAGGCTGAGCACCCCAGCAACAGCAAGCTTATTAGAAGCTCTCATCTCACCTCACAACTGACACTCTGACAGTGGCAACTCACTGACAAGGCTTGGGAAACCATCAGGTTGGTTCACGTTTTGAGCTTGAGAGTCCCTAAGTATATTTGCAGCATCACCAAGCTCAGCCAGCTGGTAGCTGCCCTGTCATCGGTACAGACTCCAAAAAAGGAGTTTCATTCTTCGCCTTGGCCCTTGCCCCTTGGGTTCGTCCGTTCAGACGTCCCAGATGAAAGGCTAGCCTAGCTGTTCATGTTTTTTCCTAAGTTTATTGACACCCCTCCCGCCCTATCTTTCTACATAGAATAAAATAATTATCTAAAGCTTATGTAGGTTCCAAGAGCGTTACTTACGATGATCTTTTCACACCACAGACACCGTCAATAATCAGTCACAATTTCTGCGTTCTACAAACTACGGCTTTTTGATGATGATGTCTTCTTTGAGGTGTAGTAAATGACCTCACACAGGTCGGTTGTCACACCTGGACATGACAATTTATTTCAGGCTTGTAGTTGCATTATCAGTTGGGGCCACATCGTTTGCTTTAATTATTGTGACCTCACAGGGTTTCCAATCTTCCGGTGCTTGCGAGGAATGCAGATAACGCCCCGATGATGAGGTGCTGCTCCCGTTTTGCGATGTCCTCACCTCCAAGCAGTGCGCGCACTGTTAGCTCCTCAATGCCAATGTTTTCCAAGGTCTGTCTCATTAGTTGACGAGCATCCCTGTAGCTGCTACATTCTAGCAAGAAGTGATCGATGGTTTCTTCCACTCTGCAATTCCCGCACAGTGGAGAGTCTGACATTTTGAAGCGATGCAGGTAAGCTTTTACCCCTACATGT